TCGTTTTAGAAGAAACTTCTTTGTATCTCCCAATCTGGAATGCCTGCATTCGCGGTGCATGTGGAGTTAAAGTGAACGAGTCTCCCGGAAAGCCGGTTACCAACTCTATCGTTCTTGCTACATCGGTTGCCGCACGAGCAAGAAACAGGACAATGTCTGCAATTGCGTACCGTATTTCTGTTGTTCTCTACCATGGTGGGTTAAGCTATCAGGCTAGTCTTCGTCTCTTTCACCTTGGTATATGCATGCATCCTGAAAGTGCTATTGGTTTGCAGAAGAGAATGGGAAAGGACCATGACGCAAAAGTACTTACGTGGAAAAAGGATTTGGAGACTGACATTCTTCCTCTGAAATTAATGGAAGAAATACGAGAGCGTCAAATACCCTGTTTTCAAGCTGATGATATGGTCATCGAGAGATCAGTTGATTTGAGCGAAACTAGTGTTAACAACAAAACATGTCCACGGTATTTTGACGCAGAAGCGCTCAAACTCATAACAAATGTTTTAAACGCAGCCGAGTGCAAATCTCAGACGCGATTAATTGGGGAACACTATAGTGAAGAGGTATTTGAAGATGCTTTCAGTGAGATAGCACGGACGAAAACGTCTCGGTACAAGTAAGTATTTTATTATGTCACTATATAAAGCCCCATTTACACTACGCTCAATTTTGGGACCACTTTTTGGTTCTTGAACCAAAGAACCAAAAAAGTGGTATACGGGTACCAATTTTATCCGTGCCGTACCAACAATTGAGCGTAGTGTAAACGGGGTTTAATTTTTTTGGCTGAATATAATATATTATTGAATATAATCATGTATATGTAGCCTCTGTAGCAAGCGTTTATGTGATCTCGTTTGCTACAAATAGTTTATGTAAAACATATAAGCAGCGTCACTATAGAAACATCATAAGTCCTCTGGCCCTGGTTAATGTCCATCTTTTAGATGGTAATTTCTCCCATTTTTTTAGATTTTTCTTTCTTTTACATACGCACCATCTATCTGAGAATGGTTTGGAAGTCTAGAGGAGGTGACTGATGACCTCAACAAATAAATTTAACATAAAAGGTGATGACAGTGAATTTCAAAATGGCTGCTAGAGTATGTTACTATTTAAAATTTAATTAAACTTTATTAGGATTGTTGGTGACAATGTTGATCTAGAAATACGTGCACGAGTTCAAACTAAAGATCACATTAATAAAAGTATCCACTGGACCCATCAGTATGCCATTCGAGATAGGGTGAAGAGTGGCATTCAAGAACAGAAGAAGCTAACAAAAACATTTAAAAATGTTCCAATGTTGGAGTTATTACCAAGTACTAAAGTACAAGGGAACATAAAAAGTCAATTTGCAGTTCTTGTTACTCGGGTCATTGTAAAGTACCTCAAATGCTTCAAACATTTGTCTAAAGTGGTCGTTTATCACATACCTCACAAGTACAGGCATGAAATGACTCTAAAGTCTGACCTGGTAAGATCTTATTTGTACACTTTAGTATATTCAAGTTATCGCTTTGAAGCATTTGTAACTTGTAAAACTGGGCTTTTTCTTAATATGTGAGCAACTGAAATAGGCATAATCAATAACCCTTAAGCTGCCGAGAGCTTTCCCATCGACGAGTACAATTGTCTGGCATTAGACATTATTAAAAAAATAAGTAGGGTGCCCTGGGGCACATTGTGGCTCAATGGGTTAACTAGAGACATTGTCAGATTTTTTGGTTAACTCATTAAGCTGCAGAGCTTCCCCATTGACCAGTAAAATTGTTTGGCGTTAGACAAGTAAAAAAATAAGTATTGCGCATTATGGCTCAATGGGTTAATTATGGGTTTATTATGGTTATACATTGTGGTTTTGCACTTTTGGTGTACAGAGGCTACTGCACCAGACTGCTTTAAATTGTGCTTAATTTAATTATTATTTACAATCAAATACGTTTTGAAAATAATTGTGAAACAAATGATAGTGAAATTACTTTAAATTTATTAAATGTATGAAAGTAATATCGATATCATTTATGTTTCAAATTTATTTATTTATTTTTTTATTAATTTGTTGTTTACAAATTTTTGCAATCAGCAAATTTACAGTTAACTTTTAATTATTTAACTGGCAATATGATCTTCACTTGACACTATATAATCAACACTAAAATCCTCTTGGTGTTAGATAAAATACTAATGGTAAGATTTATCTGAATTTATAAGTATATATAGATATGTGTTTATTTTTTCTTTATAGTGCCCACTTTCTTTGGAAACAAAGAATCCCAATGTAGCTGGGGAAATGGCACAACTGCTGATCAACAACCAGGCAAAGTATGTTCCTCATCACAAAGGTGAAGTCCTCGTGCCTATACCTCTACATGGTGACCAACTTTTCGAGGAGAGAGCGCGTAATGTTCAGTGGACGTTCAGAATTGGTGAAACATCAATGGATCGTCTTGAAGGGATGCCAACAGAGTATGCTGATTGGCATGCTAAAGTTAATTTGTATCAGATAGGTGAATAATATTATACATTTTATTCAATGTATAGCCTATTTATTAACTGGTCTGGTGTTATTTTATTTTTTCTCTAATATTTAGGTGCCTATATGGGAAATGTTCCAATTCCCTTTCTAAGGCACCTAGCTATTATATAGAGCTGACCAATAGGGATGCATATAAGCCCGTGCACCTATAGAAAATGTTCCAATTGCCTATAAAAACCTATATGTTTCCTATATGAACCTATAGGTTGGCCTATAGACTTTTTGTAAGGGATTAACTACATTTTAAATTTTTGATGGTACTATATTCTTATTAGTAATTCAATATGAATAAATAACAGAGGTGTATGCTAATTACTTATACACTTGCCTGGGGCATGATCATTAAGTTTATGTTTTCATTGTCGGATAAATTTTTTATAGTGCATGTACTTGGTTCAAACTTTGTTTTTTGGTGGGCCAAAGCTAGATCTGAGGCAGTATAACATAGCCATATAGAGCAGTGGGAGAACAGGTCGGCATGAACATTGTTCCCTTAATATATACCCCCTAGCTATCTTATTCTAGGTATCCCATTATGGCCATTGTGATAGCCAGTGAATTTTGTTCAGGTCAAATAATTTTCATGTCCAATTTGCCCTAATATTCAAGTTCAACTTGCCTTAAATTATTGTCAAAAAAGTAAAGTTACACCACTGAATAAGTTGATTCTAATATGGTACATGCTTAATTTAAATCATATTTAGACCCTGTTCATATGAGCTTCACCCATCTTATTTCAGGCCGGCGAACGGCGAATTTCGCCAGCGCTAAGAAGACATTTGACAGCCATTCGCCAGAGGCTGTGTGTAATTCGCCGGTACTTGCAGTCATGACAAGCTGAAATTTTTAGCCTAGTCTTGCACTCGGACAATAAACCAAATAGACAAAGCTTGCAAGCCTTAATTAATTTGCCCACCACTCAACTCACAGCGCTCTTGAAGCTTCGACCTTCCATTCTTCGCATACTCGCTTCACTCATCAATTAATAGCCGGAACCTCAGTAGAGCAAACTAGTAATGATTTAATTAGAGGACTTCAAACGGATACCTGAAGGGCTGAGCTAATGTGCTGGCAAATACCAGGTCAAAAACATGATTGTAAAAAAATCCAGTCCTGTAAAGATGGCAAGCCAGGCTCATATGAACAGGCTCTTACATAAAATATTACTTAGTTTGATTGATTGACTGCCCAAGCATGTGTGTCTGGCAAATATGCCTAGTTGCACCCTTAACTGTACATTAATTGTTATTTCATTCTGTTTATACCACATTTTATTTTTTCTAACATTTTTCTTTCTATATTAAATTTATATATAGAATTTGACAGGTTTGTCAAACCGCAGTCTGCATCAGAAGTTGGAACCAGCTATGCTAGTATAAACAGAACGGGCAAGACAAATGCTGCAAAAGGAGTTGAGAAATCATATAATGAATATAAGGAATTCCATCAATGTGAGATTGAGGCACATATTTGCTCTGCCATGATGGATATGTTGGGAATGCATTCAATCGATGGTAAGTACCAGTATATTTACACAAGATGTACCATTTACAATTATATATTGAAGGTTATATAATGGAGATTTCTACTCCGAGGTGGAAAAGATCAAACTATGTCCTCTTAGCCATTTTACACGCTTATAAGGTTTAGAGTCTTACAGTAGTTTAGAGTCTTAAAGGTTTGCAAATATATATTAAATTGTGTAAATAGATTGTCCACCAGGATGTGACATACCTGATGATAAGGTTCCCAAGGAAATAAGAAGAAAGTGGTTGATGAACCTGGCTTTGGAAATGGTTGAAAAGTATCTTTTTGAGTCAACAAAGATATCAGATGCTGCCAAGGAAGTAGCAGAAATTCAAATGGCAATGAGCACAAAGTGGAAATGCAGAAGTGCAGAATGTAACAAAGAATTCACCTACCATTCTGGCCGAGTAAAGTAAGTAACTTATCACTGTTAACTATATATCAGAATTAAAATGAATCACTTAAAGATGCTGTAAAGTCCATTCTGCACACCATGTAATTCGATCCCGATCTGGTCATTAATTAAATAGAGGGAGCCCAAATTTTGCATCTTTCAAACTTTTTTGAATTGAAACATTCTCTAGTTTATATTCGTTCACAAGCATTAAGCGAACCAGAGTGTTAGATATTCAATTAGTATGTCAATATCTTACAAATAGTTAGCAGTTCAAAATGTAAACAAAGCATTTGTTTACATATATTACAGACTTAATACAGCATCTATAATTAAAGTATAAAATTGAAAACTGCACAAAATTAAGACTGTATAAAGTGTAATATAATTTTAAAAAAGAGAAATCTATTGTAGGTGAGCTTCATGCACAATTCGGCCAAATTGCAATGACAACCCGAGTAATAGCTTGAATCATGAATATAGTTAACTTTAATTACTACAAGTCATTATAAATTGACATATTTCAAGAGGTGATCATATTATTATTAATCATGCATTTAGTCTAGATGTATATACATGTACATATAAAAGCCGTTATACCATGATTTTAGATAATTTTACTGATTAATTTATAGACACGAGATATCTGTCCATCATGAAAATTATTGCAAGACCAGCATTGGTGACAGGGATAAATTTGGATATTTTTTATGTGGAGCTAAATGTGGATACGTGTTTAGCACAAAAGCTATAAGGAATAGGTAAGTTACTCCTCAGGGATGGATCCAGCATGATCTGGTGGGGGTGCTCTGCCAGCTCTAGTGCCGAGTCGGGTCATGTGTGCCACCCGCCCATCAACTTGCTTCACTACTGCAAAGTCTTGCTTTACTATGGTATTTGAATTCTAATTGTTCACAGTTCGCTTATCATCATGTTATTACTCAAATTACTGTATCTCATTTTGTCTCTAATAATTTTTTGCTTTATCATGAAAAATAGCAGCCCCCCCTGCACCCCCTCTGGCCAAGGCTAGGGGTGTGTGCATCCCCCCCCCCAGAAAATCCATCCCTGTTCCTCCTTGAACTAACATATGTCATGCTATTTGATACAACCCATTGGTTTTACATTATAATATTATAGGCATGAAAGATGCATCCACACTGAGTTCTATCGTGAAAGTGAAAATGAAAACAGCCAGCCTGAAAAATCTATTTGTCGACAAGATTTCTTATACAACTACCACAAGGCCAAACTTACATTTGGCCTTATCCTATTCAATTTCAATGATGCTGTCAAGGAGGGAGACGGCCAACGATTATTTGACCTATACAAGCTTGCTCTGTTGCTTTATAAAAGTTCTGGTCACTACAAGTATGCATATACCGTTTTACTGCATCTCATCAAAATTTCTGCTCTTGATTCAGAAGACCAAGCTGATGAAATAAAATGGAATCGCTTCTTCAACAAGAATGGTGGACCTGGTAGAAATATCTCCCTTGATTTAAAAAAAGAGCAGCAGAACAAGGTTCTTAAGACATTTTGGCGATCACTGGGTGCAAATTTAAACGAGTCATCAGCATCACGTATTGCAGGAGCATTACAATCATTTGAGACAGTTTTGGAGTCAATAGATGAAGACTGTGATATAGCTTCAAGAAGTAGCCACCGCACAGTCAAAGGAGCTGAAGCATGTGTTAGGCAGATTGCTGGTGATTTGTCTGACAAGCAAGTCTTCAGTAAAACAATAGGAAGGGAAGGCTATCCATCCTTTCCAAGTATCAGTGGTGACCTCATCGAAGGATTGGATTACCTTGATTTATATAAATGGATGAATGAGAAAATTAAAGAATGGGATTCCATATATACTGGATAAATATGGTATGTAACTGAGAATGTACACTAATTTATATCAAGTCAAAGCTAAATGAATTGATAAATGACTTATACCATAATAATTAATTAATTATTATGGTATATATACTGTAATTGCATGTTCTCAAATTGAATGCAAAATAAGACTAGTGTAATTGTCCTAAATTGGGATTTTTATGACTATTTAAAATAACCCAAGTATCAATTACGGTAACAATGTACATATCATATTAGAACTTGACCCATTGTACATATAGTATAAAGTTAATGAGTTAATTAATAAAGTTCATATAGAATATATAATACAACATGAAATAGTGAATAAACTGAAAGCATGCATGTTAGCACTTTCGGAAATAAGGCTTAAAAAGTTCATCAATTATTGAAAAATTGATTAACAACATGCTAATTAACACACAAACTGGTGGAATAAGAATTGTATAGTACATTACTCGTATAAATCACATCAAATATCTTCTGCATCCTCAAAGGGAGCTGATTCTATGTCAGGTATATTACTATGTTGTTCAAACTGGACATCATGAATTAAGTTTGTCAAAATTTCATCTACACATTCTATGTCCTCAAATATTTCATTGAATACCTCAAGGATCTTAATTACATGCTGTAATGATAAAATTGGAAAATTTTGGACAATATCTTTCACAGTAAATATAGATGTGGACTGTCTTACCAAATCTTCTATAATTCCAGTTTGGTCTTCTGTATTAAGCACAATTGATCCTTGTGAATTGAACATCTCTGCAAGTTCTTCTAAAGCACTTTTTAAATCGCTTTTGTCATCTAGAGTTACAGATCTCACAAGAACAGGATTTTTGCAAACATTGCTTGTAACATCTTGTTCACTTTCATGTGAAGGCACAGGAACAGTGCATGAATCACCATCACATTTGCACTGAGAATGACAATGACTACAACAATCATGACCTGGTAGATGTGGTTCAACATGTTTATCCAGAGGCAACAAACTGGCAACACGCAGGCAATCTGTAGACCTGATAAATTCTTTGACATCAGTTTCACACTGAGCAGCCATTTGTCCATGGTAAGTGACAATAGAATGAGCCTTTCGACCATCCCGACCAGCTCGACCAGCCTCCTGATGGTAGTCAAGTAATGTTCGTGGGGGACCCCAATTAATAATGTACTCAATATCAGGGAAGTTGACACCCATGCTCAATGCCGTTGAAGCTATTATTATCCTCTTGGTGGACTGGTGGACATTTTTTAAGGATGAGACAATCATTTCCTTTGCATGTGACCATGTGTTAGCATGGTATACATCAATAAGGCAGTCACACGCCATTCTTGAACTGGTAGGATGATATGCCAATTCACCAAGAACCATTAGTAAGTGATTCAATACGCTTGCAATGTCTGTCATTGTGTTACAGAATATTAAAGTCTTTGGTGTGTGACATCCTTTGGTTTTCACAATAGAAACCAGCCAGTTCAGTTTGGTGAAAATATCACTCTTACTTGCCTTACACACAGATATCCTTATATTAGGTCTATTTGGACTTACAAATATCTTGATACAAGTTGTTTTCATAGCCAGTGAGTCAGCAATAGTTTGTTGTGTTGTAGAATCTGCAGTGCCTGTCAAAGCCAACACTGGTGTACCTGTGAAGAGCGTAATTTAGACATATGTTAATACACAAGTTGATTTTAGTGAATATAACACTTTTCAACCATATGAAACAAGCAACAAATAAACGGATTAAAACATAATTATTTTGCAATTGTCATCAGAACCCCCCTCCCCCACCCACCCCAGGTAAACATGGGGCATGCATGCCTCGCAGGTTTACTGCGAAACCCAAATATTCCAGGTTGACGAAAATTGCCTAAGCCCCCACCACATGGGGCATAATGAAATGTCTAAAGCCCCATCATCCCCCACCTATGCCACATGTTTCCCCATGATGGGAGGTGGGAATTTCCGATGACAAGTGCATTTTTATTAGCTATTAAACCAGTACAAAGTTTTCTTGTTATTTTATAATACCTTGAGTACACAGCGATCGTAGAACAGACAATTCACCAAACGCGCTTCTAAAAGCTTCAAGCTTGGCATTTTTTCTGCTTCCTGGTTTTCGTCTAAAAATATATATATACAATTATATATACTGTGATGACCTTGCAAATTGTGGAAGTGTATTTATAATATATACAGCACGATTATTAAACTCAATATTAGACAATAACATTCTTACCGTTTGCCAGTCCAAGTTTCAACCGTATGGCATTCGTCAACAACAATAAGGGAAATGTTAGATAACACGGAGCATTTATCTTTTAAAAGGCTCCTGAACCACGGTTGTTTTACGTATTCTGCTGTGGCAAATAACAGGTGAGCATGTTTTGTCAGTTTTGAAGTGTTATTCTCGAGGTTATTCTTAAAGTCGTCGTCCAACTTCATAGCAGCAATGCCAAGTGATTTAGCCTCATCAATCTGATCTTTAATTATACTTTCCAGAGGGCAAATCACAAGACAACTACAATAATATTTCGATCCCTGCTCGCATGAAGCAAGCTTTGATTTGGCGATGATGTATAACTGGAATATCAAACTTTTTCCGTATCCCGTAGGAAGAATCGCGATAACGTCCTCACCACGCAGCAAATTAATGACAGACTTTCTCTGTTCGGGTTTTAAGTTAATTTCGAAGCCTAAAAGATTGAAATTTCAGAAAGAGATTCCTCCAAAGCTTTATTAACAGCCTGCATATTTTTTTATGAGAACATGTACGCGGGCAAAATTATTGTTTACATTTGAGCACCATGGCGACCAGGGATTTGAGTTACGTAATTACTTCCGTTAACGAGATTAACCAATGGGAAGCTTTTCCGAAGATTCTTCGGAGAAGAACAAATTAATCATAGGCATTTGGGCAGGCGTTCATTTAACGACGCCTTTTCTTCTCCCGTCCGCACTAAACGCCTGCTACGCAGGCTACAGAACACCAGATGAGCTGATTTGAATGGAAAGCTTGAAAAGTTGTGTATTTATGTGAATCTTGTAATTGCGGAAGTGATTTACTCCACGTAATCGTGACCGTATGTAGATCAGTGTTTCCACTTTCAAGGAAATTTCCTTTTTCAAGGAAAAAAAGGAATCAAAGAAATCTAAGGAATTTTTGAAAATTCTAAAGAAATTTAAGGAATTTTAGAGTCAACTAAAATGTTTTGAAGATTCTTTCACTGAACCTTTCATTAATATTAAATTACATTACTTTTCTTCGCTCATAACCAATATGTCCGCGTGCAAAAATAAAAAAACCTCTTTCGGAGCCTGTGACCGAGTCAGTAGAATCTAGAATTATTAATTAAACTAATTATATGTTGGCTGCACACAACCTGAATTTTAGGCGGAAATCAGGTAACGTGCTGCGTGCAGGCGAATTTATATGAATTTATTTTGGCATGTGAATTTGTTGACTATTGAGAACAATATTAAAACTCTAGCCTCCTCCGCAGGCATCTCACCTGAGGAATCGGGTGGTGAGAAAAAGTTTTTAAAACTCTAGTGTTTTACGTTTTAAAGCTTTCAGAATTGTTGTGTAAAGGCTTTGTTTTTAAGGGTTGTACGAAATAAACGTACCAGTCTGTTTCTGTCTTGCTTTATATAAGTATTGATGAATTCTAGTTACCAAAATATACTTCGCTTAATCAAGGAAATTTCAAGGAAATTACATCCCATTTCAAGGAAATTCAAGGAAATTTTAAAGCAAAATCAAGGAAATTTGAATGATGCGTTGTGGAAACACTGATGTAGATTTCATTTTCTTTAAAATAAATATTTTATTAACATTAGCTGTATTGCCGTCGAAATTCTGTTATTGTATTCTACTTTGACAGTTTCTACCGAGTTCATATTATAATTATTGGCATAATCTTACAAGTATAAATGTTGCTATAACAGCAATTTATGTTGCAATTTTAATCCATTAATTAAGTGTCACTGTCTGAATTTGTATCTAAAACCCAATTACCAAAGTTGGTTAACTTGGTTTCTCTTGCTATGCTTTATTTGCTGTATATTCGGAATGTATTTCTAACCCTGTATTTGTATGGAGGCAAGGATTGAGCAAGGCATGTATTATTTAACCCATTGGTCCCATTACATTGCATGCATATTGCACTGTACCTTATTATTTTACTCTGTCCAATACCAGATGATTTTACTGGTCAAGGGGAGAGCACTGGCATTGTGTGGGTTAATCAGATTATTTGTCTCATTGTCTGTGTGTCTAGTTAACCCGTTAATTGGTAATTGTATCCTGATTTGCCCTACTTTGTTATTTTACTCTGTCACCAGAAGATTTTACTCGTTAATGGGGTGCGTTGGCACCATAGATATCTTATATACATTAGATAGCGCATCTCTTTTAGTAAAATTGAAGCCAACAATATTCCAGCGGTTACCCCCATTTGAATAGATGGCGGCCATGTTGGTCGTTCCCACTTGCTAGTAAACGCTTAAAAACAACAATAATTTTCATCATTTCAATATTTTAAAAACGTATTTGGAATAGGGTTAACTTAATGTTTAAGTTCCCTGTTTAAGAAATAGAAAACATACGAATCTTCTAATTTCATGGGAACGACCTGAGACTGCAATCACGGCTTCAATTTTTGAATTTCAGAATAATTAGATGCACTATCTAGTGTATATAAGATATCTATGGTTGGCACTCATTACGTTAATATCTTACAATTATATGAGAACATTAAAGCTGGGCTTCCTAACCAAGCTGACGTTGTTTTAGTGTGTACACTGTGGACTTGGTTTCTGGGCTTCCCACTCCATGGTCATGTTGTAAATGATATTTTGCAAGAATTATATTGATAATTAAAATGTCTGCATTTCTTATCGAATATGTAGGTTATACTGTAACTGAGTTGTATAAATATTATATTTATAACTTATTGCTTTGTATAAGCAGTTTGTTTGGGCAAAAACCAGTCTGAACAGTCTGATTTAACAACAGACAAAGTTCTTCTCAGAAAATTTAGTTTGCTGTCAAAGATGGCGGAAACATCAAAAGTGAGGGAGGCTGGACATGACCAAAGAGGGCACGTATTAGTGGCATACTTATAGCATTATATTTAGAGATTAGCAGGTCATGAAAATTACCAGTTACTGCATGGCAGGGCATTTTTTAACTATATAACTACTGGGGCATTTACCCCAGTAGGCCCTTTGCTTGCCTCGAGATCAGTAGTGAAACATGATTTTCAGATGAACTGGGGCCTTTTTGATTATTAGTAAAAGGTTAACCTTGTTGAGAATTTGCTGCATCTGCCTGCTTTCTCATATCCTCTCACATTCTCGACATTAATTTCCTCTTATAAGTTTGGCAGGGGCGGTGCTAAAAGTGGGTTTTGGATGAAGAACACCCCCAATCGTCAAATAGTCGGCAATTTATCTAATACCAGTTGGATGAAAAGAAATACTAATTAGCGTTTGAAATTAGTAGGCAATATTTCACTCCCACCCACGCCCTAGCTATTCAAATAGCTGCCCCTGAGCACAGAGTGATTTTTATGTACCCGTATTAACTGTGTTGGGAAAAGGCCCTTATTGAGACTAAGCCCCAGTAGTTGTAATTTCTTAAAAAATGCCCTGCTGCATGGCCGATAACTTGAAGGCCAATTAAACAAACTAATTGGCTGATTAATTAATCTGCATTGTCAAGTATCATTGTTTTGCTTGTTACCAGTTCCTGTATAGTTGACTTTGCATTTAGCTTGATATATTTATTCAGGGAGGCGCAAAGCTTCCTTCAACCTGGGGGGAGGTATAGTTTTGCCAGAGTTATTAGCTTGGTCTGTATTAGTCCAATGCATATACACACATTTACTACACTTTGGTTAACATAGTATATACGTGGATTATGCTAAAGTATGCCATATATACTCTACTGTTGTTAACTACACAGAGTTCGGGGGGTGCAAAACATGTATCATGTAGAGGGTCTGAAATGTCATTTTCTCCATTCTTTGAAAGATTTCGAATGGAACTGATCCTGACTGCCCACGACAACTGCTTCCAGCCATGACCGCTGTCACAAACCAACTCGTCTGCATTTATATAGACTGTTGGGTTGTTTTGAATTTTTAAATTACCCATTCACTGTCAAAAAAATTTATTAGTCACTGAGAGCGACTAAAGGCTACACAAGCGTTTTGTTGTCATCGGAAAATGTATGGCTTATGAGTTGTCATTACTCATTAGTGAATGCGCGTATACATGAAACTGTCTTTTACAGGTTCAATATTAGTTTGTAAATCTCTGAATGGTAAAACTTGCCAATACTCCAATAATACGTTTCAAATAAGACAAAAAGCTTTAGTTTCGCAAAGTTAAATTCTCAAACGTGTAAAGACCGACACAGACAGGACGCGATTCGGCAACGCGACTCGAATTTTCAGTTTTCAAAAACAAATAAAACCGTCAACGGATAAAATTTTTACAAGGAATGCAGACCAAATAGCTAAAATTCGCCCCCTTTTGAGAGGGGGGGGAATCTTCTGCGGGGGGGGGGGACAAAAGTCCTGTGACAACGGCATGGGCAAATAGCAGTACCTTTTAAAAATCTTATCTTGCCCCCCAAAAAATACGAGTTTGCCCCTAAAATGCCCCCCCAAGCAACTAAGATTTCATGAAAAATGACAAAATGTTCAAAAATTCTGTTTGCCTCAAAGTGTTGACTGGGTAGCATTGAATGTGAATGTGAAAATCAAAAACTGAACAGTGCTATATTAATGTCAAAACATTAAAGTTACAGTCAGTTAAAATTGGAATGTTAAAGTTAACATCGGAATATCAACCCATAAATATAAGGTGCATTTTGCGCTAATGCGTTCTACAGTACTTTACTTGTCAATTAAGGAGGGAGTGCTGGCACTGAATGTGTTAATCAGACTATTTGTCCATACATGTATAGTTAAGCCATTAACCCATTAAGTTGTGTTACAATGCTCTAATGCCCCTACTTGGCTACTTTATCATTTTGCTCTGTCTAACCCCAGACTATTTACTTATCAAAGGGGGAGTGCTTCATGACGCTCAATGGGTTAATCAGACTATTTGTTCATGTGTGTATAGTTAAGTCATTAACTCATTAAGTTATGATGCGCCCTAATGCACGTAGCTACTTTATCTTTTTACTCTATCTAACCCCAGACCGCTATTTTGCTGGTAAAAGGAAGATTGCTGCCACTGAATATTTTAGTCAGACTATTTGTCCATATGTGTATAGCTAAGCCATTAATTAACCCACACTGTAAAAACTGATAGGTTAAAACAACCTATTTCTAAAGGTTGTAACCAATAATTAAAGGTTGTTTTAGCCAATTGAATGGGTTAGAACCGATTTAAGTTAGTTAAAATAACCTATTATTATCAGGTCAAATTTTGCGACCAATAAAAATAGGTTAATTTAACCAATCTTTTTGGTTAAGCAAATTTACCGATTGGTTATTATTCCCAAATAGGTCATTATAACCATTATGATTAGGTCAAAATACTGAAAACGAAACTAACCTATATGAAATATGTTGAAATGTTTATTTCGACTTGCAACATATACTTTCAATTTCAAGGAGTTATTCTCACTCCACTCAGTTAAAAGCCATTTATTAAATCGTCAGTATAGTAGAAGTGAAATAGTGAGTAATTTTCCACCAAGTTTTTACTCGGCCTGTGTATTATAACTCGACCATCACATATAGGAATGACAAAAACTATATTCAAGTTTCTTCAACCTAGAATTAGAGCGATATTTTTTATGCAAATTCGTAGTGAGGGACTGCAGTTCGTGTAAAATCAACCCAAGATTTAATTCAGCTGGTTGACGCGCCGTTTTTCTCGAATGTTGCCAAGTCAGATTCTTGTATTACAAGTATATCGGACCCAGCCTAGACCTAGGCCTTCTAGTGTTATTTATATTTTTTAGTATTCAGCGGTTTTTCACATGAAAAGACTGGGACTAGGTGATTTGTGGGCGGGGCGGAGGAACCAAGCCTAGAAGGCCTAGTTGATTTCCCAACAACAAGGCCAAAACTGCCCTGAAACTGCCCTGGTTGCGAAATACCCAATTATTGCGTTCTCAAACAGAATTATTTGCAACTTAACGGCGAATTTAAACCGATACAGGTAAAATAAACTCATTTATAGTATAAACATACTATTTTTATTTGTATACACGTCTAGAAAATCGTTTTTTTTATCATAAAGTTCGAAGCAACACTATTATTTAATATGTTGACAAGGTGTAGCGAAAGAACAAAATGAGTCAAAATATATACCAAAAGTAGAATCTTTCATGAAATTTTGTCTTATACACAAGTACATTAATATATATTTTCTCTATTTTGGCAAGAAGCAGTCTTGTGTTTGAAAAATATACAAAATAAAACGGATACATATATTATTAGCCCGTACAGTACTGTATTCTGTATATAAAAACGTACATTGTTTATACAAATGGTATATCTGTGATATTTGAGCACTAATTTCAAATTCCTCATTCCCAATTCGCAAAATATAGTTATTCAAAGCAAAACAGTAGATTGTCTTGCGAATAAAAGAATTATTTATATTTTGTGCCGTTTCGCTACACCTTGTCAACATATATAAATAGTGTTCTTCAAACATTATGATAAAAAAGCCGATTTTCTAGACGTGTATACAAATAAAAATAGTAAGTTTATACTATAAATGAGTTTATTTTACCTGTATCGGTTTAAATTCGCCGTTAAGTTGCAAATAATTCTGTTTGAGAACGCAATAAATGGGCATTTCGCAACCAGGGCAGTTTCAGGGCAGTTTTGGCCTTGTTGTTGGGAAATCCACTAGGCCTTCTATATTTTCGCTTGCGTCAGGCTTGTGTCCTTCCTCCTCCCCGCCCCCAAATTACCTAGTCCCAGTCTTTTCATGTGAAAAAGCGCTGAATATTAAAAAAATATAAATGAAAATAGAAGGCCTAGGTCTAGGCTGTATCGGACCATATCGGTTTCTTATTGTTCGATCGCACGCGACGATCGAATGTAGCCAGAAATTGTCAGCGAGTTTTTCTTGTCAAATTAATTTAACACCAGCATTGCTCTCATCTATATTTTTTGCTGCGTAAATCTCTATTATAATTACCCGCGTTTGCCAGAGATTTTTTATTTTTAACTTCTGGAATGTTTTGCTGCTGAATATAATTTTCAACAAGTGGAAGTTCCAAACTTTCAACCAATTAACATGCTTAGAATATATCACGTGTTGTAGCAATTCGATCTGTATGACACATTGACAACAAGCGCCAAGTTCGATCTTTTGAGAGCAAGCATTCAAAGGAGAAGATTTTTGTTCAAATTTTCTATTATAAAGTTCGAAAGACCTAGTAAAATACATGGAATTTGAAAGGTATGTCTATTGTGTATTTACTCATTTGTATGCGGATAGTTACTTGACATACTGTAGTTATATTTTTATTAAAATCGAAGGCCTGTATTTTATATTAGTCGCTTCGCCGCCGATTCACTGAAGGCATCTGGACGTTCAGTTGTAAATTTTCGATTAATTTCTATTAGCAGAAGTCTAGAAGTCTAATCTACAGTCTCCACATATATGTGTTGTTAAGAAATCGTATAGCTTATTTGTGTGATATGCATTTGTATGTTGTAATTTTCTGTTAAATAATTGCTATAAAGTTGCTTGTGATGTTTAATACTCTGAGCTAGTGTATATCCACACCGGGCAAGCTTGAAAAATATGCCTGTCCACGGTGGGAATCGAACCTACGAGCTTTGGAATACTAGCCCAATGCTCTGCCAACTGAGCTACGTGGTCAGGTCGGTTCGAGTATGTGATATTTTGGAACAGAGTCTAGTGCCTTTGATACCAATGTAATTTAGTAATCATGATATTTCCTGTGTTGATGCAATGTACTCAGGTGGATATATGCTTGTGATGTTACTCTGAGACTTAGAGTAACATCACAAGCATATATTCACCTGAGTACATTGCATCAACACAGAAAATATCATGATGAGTGTATATCCACACCGGGCAAGCTTGAAAAATACGCCTGTCCAGGGTGGGAATCAAACCTGTGGACAGATTTAGAACTAGATTCTGTTCTGAAATATCACATACTCGAACCACAGTTAAGGATTTCGCTCGAACCGACCTGACCGCATAGCTCAGTTGGCAGAGCATATTGGGCTAGTATTCCAAAGGTTTGATTCGGGGGCCTGGTAGAAATCTTAGGTAGGATCCTAACAGGATCCTAACAGGATCCTAAGGGACCGGTCGTTAATTAGGGCAGGGGTTGGGGCCGAAGAGAAACGACTTTGAATCCGAAATTTTTTTTTACCCAACCAATATAAGATCAGAAATTTAAATTACCCAACCTTGTTGAGACATAAAATTTTTTTTACCCAACCCAAGGAAAAAAATTGTATAAAGTTGTATTAAATAACATACCATATTAAATGGTGAATGTTGATCATGATTCTGGTAAGATATGAATTCACCGCAACCATGCAGTTAATATAAAATCAGTACATATTAAAACACCCAAAATCCCTTTGATAGGTTTTGTATAAAGTTCCCGAATGTTCTCTACTATATCCAATATTTTAATGTAATTCTGACAAAGCCCAATTTCCAGCATATCGTCCATAACGTGTTTGAACAACAAGGGGAACTGGATCAACAGTTTGTATCTGTTCATTTTCAGGTTCATCTTCAGTCTCACTTTCAGGATCACTTTCTGATCCAAACTCCTCCAATACAATATCTTGATCACTGTCACTTTCACTGCTTGCCTGGTCTCTGTGCTGCGGCTCCAAAACATCTTCAATTGGTCTTCCTTGGTGTTTTCGTAAGACATCTGCTGTAATTGCATCCAACTTATCTTTTTTCTTCCCTTTTTTGTTCAACTTGTTTTCAGTAATGTACTTATCCAATTCCGGAATGGTCAATTTGCTAAGTTCTCCTTGTAGAACCAAGTTGATCCAGTCATACTCATCGTACTTTCTTTCTTTTCTGTGACGTTGTTCTTCTGCTCTTCCTCTTGATCGAATTTGCTTTGTTGACTGTAGATTTGTTAAATGTTCTATGGAAGCAACAACATATTCCCTTATGACATAGAATGTTTCAGAAAATGTTGTGATCTCATCTTGTTGTTGCAAAGAAATCTCGCCATCCTGAAACAATTTTGTTATGTTTGCTCTGGGTTGCCAATCATCAACAGGTCTTGGTGTATCATTCTCTGTGCATAATGGTGTATCGGCAACAGGCAAATAATGACATGCTCTCTCCGGATCTGGAACAGGCTGGGGTACCCTCTTGGCTGGTAAACCGGTCCAAGAAATACACGATTCACACCCATCTTTCTCTCCATCACATGCACATTTTATGAATTCCATATACAGTTCTCCAACTTTATAATGGGTATCGAAAAATTTCAGTACTTTCTCAATATATGCTGACCCAGGAACAGTATTTCTTGCTGAATCACTTGAAGATGAGTTGTATTGTACAAGGTATTTTTGATTGAAATATAAACATTTACATATTTCGTCATGTCATTCATGTGTAAAATTTGTCAAAATATGCAGAATTCGAGGAGATCCGATGTAGATCCGACACACTTCTGAGCATGAGCTGACTAGAAACGAGTGCCATTTGGATGATCCAAGTTAAACAAACATACTCACATGCATCATGGCTGCCGAAAAAGAATTTGAAAGTTTTTTACAATCTATTAATCTTGCTGAGGATTATTTGGAGCGATTTAATGCGTCTGGTTTTAACGACATTGAATTAGTGAAATCGTTGGAATTGGATGAACAACGGCAAATGTTTGATCTAGTTGGTTTATCGGGAAAACCAGGGCATCTTCTGAAATTCAAGAAGGCTATAGCTTCATATACTCGCAATCTAGGAAGTATTAATATTGACAATAGTAACCAAACAGCCGTTCCGGCTCAGAAGAAGGCTCAGAAAAGTAAGTTTTTATCATTGTAAATATTTTGTTTATTATATTAAACTAGGGTATAAGTGTGATGTTGGACAATCAATTTAATGAATTTACTGTATGCATCATGGATTCATATGACATGTTAATACGTTTATATGCTTCGGTCAATTTTCCTGTTTATACCACCCCCTCCCTGTATAAAATTGTATCCTTGAGGGTATTGTCGGTCTTGAGGGTGTGTATGTATGGTCCCTTATACTATTTTAGCCTTGCCCTGAGGTGGGTATAAATTTAAAAATGTCTATTAAATTTCTGGTGCTGGTAAATTTGCTACAAACTTGCAATTATTTTTCAAATCCTTTAAGGAATTGCCTTGGGAAGGCATGGTTACATAAAGAATTGATGATTATTTAAATGAAATATTTACTTTTATATTTATCTTTATATTAAATAGCAATCTCATTCATTGGTGGGAAGTTTGTTGTGGGTGAAAATGCCAGAGTGAAAGAAAAGGAGCCTTTCGAAAAGTACATGATACCAAATGTGAAGTCCAAAAGGTTGACATATCATAATCTAATAACAAAAGAAATCTACCTGTCAGCCTTTACCAGTAAGCAGTCTAGATTCCATGCTTATTTGATGGGACAACGCCAGTTTCGTTGGAATGTTAAATGCAACCTCGAAAAACTTGAGCACCTTGTATCTTCATACAAAAATGGTCAAATTCCAAAGGAGAATATAAATTGTTTACGATACAGGAAATTTCCAGAGGATGTAAAGATAGATGATGTGAGTAAAAGCCAACGAGCATTAGACCACATAAAAAGCACAATAAAAACAATCAATGAGGAAAAAAGCAAGTTATCGAATAGAAAAATGGAGCTATATACAGATAATCTTGAGCCGAAGAAATGGGCAAGTAATGAAATAAATTTTGTTCAAGAAATGACAACACATGTAGAAAGCATGCTGACTGAATCCAATAATATTGCACATGACATTGAGCATGTCAGTAATCAGTTGGCAAAAAGATTTGATGTGGCCTCGGTGAATGAAAATGAAAAGAAACGGAAAGCTAAAAGAGTCAAAGAACAAAAATCTAAGACAAAGAAGAAGCGAAGCATTGTAGAAAAGTCCAAAGTGGGATGTCCAAACACAATGAGTGACATGTCTGGTGATGATGACATTGTTATTGACATTTTAGATGACAATCTATGAACTTTGTGCCCTCAGCCACCCAGTTTGGAACGTTTATGTGGTTGTCATAGCAACAAACTAGTCACCAGGTCTCTCCCTTCTTACTTTAGTAATGTCTGCCGTAGACACTTTGAAACGAAAATATTTATTTAATTCAGTAGTTTATATTTACCACAGTACCTGTGCAAAAACGATAATAATAAATAAAAATCACAAAAATTCCTTTCTTTTTTGTTGAAAGCAAAGAATTGGACAAATAGGAGAGAGAGACCTGGTAACTAGTCTGTTGCTATGACAACCTCATAAACATTTCAAATTGTTTGCCTAGGTGCACTTACTAACTATGCCAAATTTCATTTAATTTCTTTGAATCACTCCCAAGATATTAGACTTTCTTCTTTTTCCTGCCATCCTAAGCACAACTAGTGACATAATAACACAAAAATATAAAATGCCTGATAACTTGGGAATGAGATGAGCTGAGAATAAATTAAGGCCATTCTTCATTATTTTCAAGGTACTTTGAAGTGCTGCATAAAAATTGAGGAACGTAAACGAGCATAATAAATGTAAACGAGTATCAGTATATGAGGGAAAGATAAAGAAAGACATTTAATTACCTGGGCAAGGACTGATGGAATATTCAAGAGCTGTTGTAGAGTGTCCAAGACTGGAATATAGGCGAATTCATCGTTCACCAGTACTTCCTGATAGCTTCCCCCAATCCTTTGTTTCTTTGATGTGTGACCAAGTAAAATTCGTCTTGGTTCTTTAATTAAAAAAAATATATGTAAATTAATGTATCAAGTAATTTAAATTGTAGTAAATATTTGTATTTATTCACATAACTTCTCTTGGAATTCTGTCGAAAAGTTTCTGTTGTTGTTCTACGTGAATATGTTGTAATTTTGTACAGTGTTAAATTATTTGGAGGAAGTATAAAAAGAGTATTCCTTGATGTAATGCTAGCTGTAGCTGAATTCTCACAGTGTCCAGAACCAAATACATGTAAGGGTTTTGCAGAATCTTCACTTTGATCTCCGCGCACACTGGTTCACACACAATAACATTCAGGGGACTGTATTCTATCGATTTATTTAATTGGAAAGATTATCTATTTACAACGCGATTTTAGACTTCCTCATCTCGCTACGATCTGATCACAACTGAATTTACATATTTGCCTCAGTCAATGTTGGTATTAAATTACAATGAATCACTATAACGTATTTTAAGCAATACTATATACATATTTGTACATTAAGTAGTAGAAGCAACTGCTGTGCGGAAAACTGGCGGCACTGCGCTGGGAACTTACAACACCCCACCCACCTTGATTCATAAAGGATTCATCTATGAATCAAGCATCGCCCTTGTCTTCGCTTTGGAAATAACAGCAGCAGCTCGTCTTGGACGCTCATGCCAATCATGCAAGGAACCTTCTGACTCAGCTGAAGGGGAATTCCCTTCCTTCCCTTTCCCACCCAGTCGAGCTTGAATCTCTAACGGGTAACGTTTCTGGACCGGTCTTTTCAGGTAAACTGGTCTACCCTTCCCTGCAACTCTTACTTTGGCTCCTCTAATTTCCTTGTCCTTTCCTATAATTAGTTCTTCTACTTTCGCTAATTTCCAATTACCTCGTTTCTCTCCCTCTCCATACACTGTCACTACATCTCCCTTCTTCACACTCTTTCTCGCATTTTGACTCTTACATTTATGAAATTCTCTCAACCCTGTCAGGTACTCACTTTGCCACCTCTTCCAGAAATGTTGTAATTTCAACGTAATATATCTAAATCTTTCTCCACAGCTACGTTCCTCTCTAACTACTTCCCTCTGTGGTATGAAGCTAATAGCTCTACCATAAATTAGGTGTGACAGTGTCAAAACCTCTCCTTCACACTCTTCATACTCATCTGTTAATGGTCTAGCATTTAATGTGCCCTCTATCTCTACAAGCACTGTGGTAAGTTCATCTACTGTCAATTTAGCATTACTTAGAACCTTTCTAAGACACCGTTTAACACTCTGAACCATTCTCTCAAAAAATCCTCCCCACCAAGGCGCTCTTTCTAAATTAAACCTCCATGTTACTCGTTTGGTTTGCAATTCCGCCTTAACCTTAGGTTGGTTAAACAACCATCTAACTGCCCTTTCTGCTGCCTTAAACGTTTTGGCATTGTCAGATACTATAAGGCTTGGCATTCCTCTCCTAGCAGCAAATCTCCGTAGACAACACAATCTGCCGTCTGTGCTACACTATATGCTTTTCCCTCTAATCTTTTACAGGTGAAGCATCTACCTAAAATCCGCTTCCTTTCACAACCCAATATTTTGTCCTTAATCTTCCTAAGGTTGCCCGCACACCACAATGATGCACTTCACAGTGACATTTCTGGACAATCAATTCAGTCAGTCTGTGGTCCTTGGGTATAATGATTGGGTGTTTGGTATTGAACTCTAACTCAGAATTATGTAATCTACCTTTACATCTCAGAATGCCTTCCTCTTCCATCAAACCTAAACTATTACTCAGTTGGGTGTACTTTCTATCTACATTCAACCCTGCCTGAGCCTCTTTAATCCATATATTCTCTGCCTCAACTAACTCATTCACTGTCAACTCTCCACTTCGCCTATCAATGCCCCTTGCTTTTGCTTGTACATTAAACCCAAACCTGAGTACCCAAGCTGTTACTCCAAAAAGTCGTTCTGCTGTCCCATAATCATTCAAGTCAATCACTCTACTTATACTAGCTGGCTCTGTCACCTTTACAACCATAACTACAGACTTGCGTTCCTCTTCCAAAACTGTCTTTGTCTTATCAGTAGCCTCAAATTTTGGCCACTCCTCTTTTGACTTAGTTAGCCAATCTGGCCCCACCCACCATAGCTTGTTATCTTTCAATTGTGAAGCAATTACACCTCTAGACCCAATGTCAGCAGGATTTTCAACCCCGGGACAATGCCCCCAATCCCCTTTGTTCGTTAGCTTCAAGATCTCATTTACTCGGTGGTGAACAAATTGTTTCCATTCACCCCTATTCATTATCCAGTAGAGTGCTGTCATGCTGTCAAGCCAAAACTTGGTACTATCTATCCTAACTTGGTTTTCAAGTGACGCTTTTACTGACTTCATAATCTGCGCTAACAGCCTCGCTGACATTAACTCTAACCTGGGAATACTAGTTGCTTTTAAGGGAGCTACTCTTGCCTTTGATGTCAATAAGTGGACATAAACCCCTACATTAGTACAATACACAAAATATACAACTGCACAGTATGCCTTCTTGCTCGCATCGCCAAATCCATGTAAGGTACACTCCAAAACATCTTCTGCACGATGTTGATATATACAGCGAGGAATGGTAATTTCCTTAGTTTCTATCAAATCCCTGTACCAACCCTCCCACTTATGCAGCAACTCCTCAGTGAAGTTTTCATCCCAATCAACTTTATCCTTACATACTTCTTGGAACAATATTTTGGCACATACAATCACTGGACTAATTATTCCGAGAGGATCAAATAAACTTGCTAAAACACTCAGTAGATTTCGCTTTGCAGGTGATAAGGTTTTTGCCCTTTCCCCCACTCTCGCGATCTCAAACTTAAACTCATCGCTCTTGTTATCCCATGCCTGTCCTAACACTTTATGGCATTTTGATTCACATCCTGTTACTCCAAGGGATAGTTTTGCATATGATTGACGATCCTCAACAATGTGTTTTATCTTACATTGGTCTGTCGCATGCACCTTAATTTTACTTTCCAATAGATTACTGTTAGTTGACCACTTTCTTAGCTTGAATCCCCCTTGTGCCATTCTACTCATAGTCTTATCATATAACTGAAATGCCTTATCTACCGTACTTTCCCCACTAACTAAATCGTCTACATAGAAACCTTCTAGCACCTTCTTCACAAACTCAGGATCGGTTTCAAGATACTTTAAGACATGAT